AACATAATTAAGGAAAAATTCCTTCTGCGATATTTAAATGGTACGTCGTTGTGCAACTTTATCGATACTGCAAATAAAATAAGAATTGCATGCATATTGTAATTTTGCGAGTTGATTAGCGAGAAAAATCACTTGTTCCGGATGAATTATTTCAGTCGTGGAAATAAAGGCTAAGCTATCACACACACACGCACACGCACACGCACACGCACACGCACACGCACACGCACACAAAACAATGTACTATATAAAACTATATAAAACAGATTAAGCGATAATAGATAAATCTACAAAAGAAATAAATATATAAATGTTTCTTTTTGTGATATATAAAGTTAATCTATAATATTAACTCCATTGGAAATACAGACTTCTATTATTAAACTTCACAGTCACATTTGATGCTAAATAATTGATGCTCGATGAGCTGTCATTTCTGTGCCCGCTTATTCACACACATATACGCGTACATGTAACATACATAGGTGGACATTAGGATTTTTTAGTCACTTTTGTCTCTTTCTATTACATACAAAATATATGTATAATCAAAGTGAGCAGTCTAGTTATACAAGTCTGTGATTGGAAAAACATGTTTATCACCGGAGGTTAAAAGATAATTTCTGCATAGATATACCTTATCCTCTGCATAGATTTCACAAATGTATATGCCACGTTGTAACGCAACTTTATAGCTAATCGTTAGCTTTAAAACTTAGTTGTTGCTAAAGCTTTAAAACTTAGTTGCAAAGCGGTGACGTCAATTCTTGCAGAATTTGCTTTTTAAGAATGTCACGTACAAATATTTTATTGTCGAATGCTGAAAAGAGCGATAATAAAACGTTACATGCGCTAATTAGATTAAACAAACTTAGATAAATAAATAATTATAAAATATCTATGGAATGCCAATCTAAAATGCTTTATATTTGTACATTTATGAGTTAAATTCAATAAAATTTATACAATTCTTAATAAAGAAAATCGCATTTAGTTCTCCTTTTCGAATATCACTATTAAGAAAATAACATGATAAATTTGCATAAAAGCATCAAGTGAAACAATGGTTATTGTTGTATTACGGAATGATATAATATATCGAATTATATAATTTTTGAAGAGAAGATATGCAAATATCTGAGCAATTCTGCGTACAAAGTTTATATAACAATCAAAGAACAACACTTTTGCGTTCGAACATCAGATGATAAGACCGACTCTTCTGTGAATGAAGAATAGGAACTTAATAAAATGAGGAACTTAATAAAAGTAAAAACTGTGATCCTCATGGCCTTGAAGCAAATAAAAAAATTGTGTCAATTTATCGTATACACGCATATACGATATCATGGATCATTAGTCAATTTGCATCAGCTAACGTTCGACTTTATGCTCGCGTATTCATCGATCTAATAGACAGATTATACTGACTAATTGCCACGTAATCTCTTGGCGGCGTTCCTGTAAAATTAGCCGATTGTATGTAGCTCGTAGATTAAAGCTTCGTTAGCGTGAACGGTTGCTCGTTGAGTAGCGATTAGAGGCACAACAATGTCTCGCGACCGAAGAAGTTGGCGGCTTCTTCTTGCGCGTCTCGTCGATGCATCCGTCTTCTTTAGACAAGTTTCACGACGTCGATGCTAATGATCAACCTGGGATCTGATTGATTGATGTATACGCAGCGGATGAAAATTATCGCATAATTGTAATGATTCACTTCAACCACATCAACATTATGTGCATCAGATGCATACTTAATTGCGGACTGTGTTATTTAATGCAAAAGAGAATTGTTTTGGTTAAATATCCATTATTTAATCTAATGACTACTAAGTGTTCGAAAATAATAATTATTAGCAATTTGTTCGTTTTAATGTAAATAAGAATTTATACAAGAGCTCTTTACGGTGTTTTGTATTTATGCAAAAACTCGCGTATCAAATCCATCGGTGATAAATTAAACGTAGTTGGATGGAAATGCAATTGCGTCTCTGTTTAAAGCGTGGAAACTCAAACAATCGAACAATCTACGCCGAAGGAGAGAACTTCGTGGAAATGTATAATGACCAAAGATTATTGGGCATGCGTGAATCGTATATTAGTCGTCGAACGAATCTGCATCATACATATATTAGATTGCACCTAGTTATACGAGATATATCATCTATATGTACACATCCTGTCGCGAGCAAAGAATACTTGGGGCGGAAATATAAAAGATAATAATAATGCCCAATTTTAAATGCATAAAGTTGTCATTTCTCGTAAAAATATATTTGTCTGCCCTTATCACACGATATCTGTTCACTATCACCGGATAAGTGTTATCGACAGGTTCTGAAAGTGGAGTTGTCAACTACTAAATCTTTCCTGTCTTGCACAATATCGGGAATATAACTCAAGTATCTTATCATTGACCTACGTGACCAATAGTGTTGAGCAAAATTAAAATCATGAATAAGAAATAATTTTTTTGTAATGTTATGCAAGAAAGCGTCTTGTATAATATACGATGCAAACTAAATGCATAATGCGAATTATTTAAATAATAAGTATAAATCAACATTCTTTAAACTAAAAAATCAAAATACTAATTAGATTTAATCTATTTTGAAATTGTATAAGATTATTGGATAAAATATTACAAGAGTTTTATATTTCTCTTTTTTGTCGCTATAGAAAAGATTGAAAAATATATGAAAAATACTTCGATTGTAAATGATTTTTATATTGCTTTTTTTTAACAGCCAATAAAATTGATATATCTGCTTATACTTTATACAAAAGGTTATTTAATGTTGGAATAGTTTATGCTTCTGCTATGTACCTTTTAAAAGGATAAATCATAAAAGATTTAGCTTCGACTGAGATAAATGCTTTTATAAATCACAGGCAAATAATAGTTTTTGGCATACATTTGAAAAATTCTATTCTTAATGTGATATGTCCGACGAGTTTTTAAAGATGATGCTTAAACATTTTTGCTTTGACACTGTTTCATTAAATTTTAATTTTTACCTATATATCTCATTTATATCTATTAATATAACAGACTTATTCGTGAATTACAATACCTTTCCTATTTTATTTTGATTAACGTCAATATAAATTTCTATTTTATTCGTATTGACTGTTCGTTCTATCCATTAAGCGTTTAACAATTCTGTCCGTTAATGTATTTGTCGTTCATGAAGTTTTCGTTATTTACGTAACATTAATAGACATCGCTGTCGATTAGTATAAATACTACATTTACTGTGCGTGAAAATACTTCGATCGGAAAATTTGTTCTTTAATAAATATAAGTTATTAGAATTTTTCATAGTAATTATAATTCAAGAATTAGTTTTTCGAAATAATTAAAAAAATATTATCATATTTTTCAAATATATAATTTAAAAATTATATTTTTCGAAACAGCAAAAAAAAATACAATTGTGCACATATCTAATTGATAATTACATTTTGAAAAATTATATTAAACAAATTTTAAGGTCTTAAATTATTATAACTTAAAATACCTCAGGATATTTGTCCAAAGTTTTGATAAATAAATAGTTGGTTACTTGTATAAAAATAATAACCGATAAATTAAATTTTGTATCATTATAGGGGATAAAATTAGCTAATTAAAGTTCTCATATTTATCCTTTCAAAACTTTAAATTATTCATTTCGTTGATTCAGTAATTATGCGCTTAATTATTCAATTAGAATAATTAACACCGTAAAATACTTGCGTTGGGATACTAATGTTCGCTCGACGATTATTGTTAAAGTGATTAACAAAATTCGTAAATTTACAATAATTTAAATTCCTCTTATCAGATCGAGGAACTCGAGAGGAATACGAAGAGAAGATCAATATTGAAAGACTACGTTACACATCTAATTGCGTCTGATTGTAATATGGCAATGTTAAGTACAATATATCATCGTCGCAAAGTTTATCATAAATTATAACAATGCCCCGATATAAATAATGCAAGCGTACTCGCAATTTTTTATCGTGACACGTATATGCCCTGCGATAATAAAGTACGTTTCTTTACTTTGAAAAATGAGAGAGAAAAAGGAGCACATATTGTGCTCTCATTTTTTATACTCTAGTAAAAATTCTCCTAGATACAATCATTTAAAAATTTAGAAAAATCGGTTTTATATACACGTGTTTCAAAGTTGAAATAATAGAATACCTACACTATTAACCCATTAAGTTCCAGTAGACCTCTATTTTTAACATTTGTCTTTTTTTAAACATCTCACTCCATCATTGACTAAATTTTCGGAAAGAGCGACTATTTTTACCTCTAAATGCCAATACATAGTCATCTAAAATTCTTGGCAATAAGAATTAAAAGGCTAATAAATAAGTTTCATCAAGATTTAATTTAAAAACACAATGATTTAAAAACAAAAAAAATGCGTAGTGGTCTCTTAGGATTTAATGGATTAACAGAAAAATTGAAGAGAATTCAGCGCAAAAGATAAGAGATTCCGTAAATTTTTAAACTTCACTTTATATACCACTTTATATTCAAGATAGACCGTACTAATTATACAAGCAATTTTAAAATTTGTATAAAGTACAGCCACGATATGTACATTTCCTAAAATATTTCTTTAACTGTACAATCAGGTTAAGTTTTTTAGAAGAAGAAGAAGAAGCGTTATTTGAAGCAAATTTAGTAACTCGACATATAATCAATAGATTTATTTATATCTCACTTTCGTCTAGTGCAAAACAACGTTTGTATCAATATAAAATGAGTAGCTCTGTTTTTTCCTCCAACTAACAATCGACTTGCAAAGTATCGACGTACATCGATATCGCGTATGTCGATCTTACACAAGCGGCGATACTAAACCGGTACCTGGTGTGAAAGTTATTCGTTAGTAGTCGCGAGTTGTCCATGTTTGTTCGTGCGTCGACATGGCGTGGAAAATGCGGAATCGTCGTAAGACGAGAGGCAAGTGATGCAATTGTGTTAAGAAATGTCTGATTTTATCACGCGATCATACACTCTATAAGTCATAATGATAACAGCTATCGAGATAATTAAGATTTGTTGTAAAAGGCAGTCTGTCTCTTCTCTTTTCTCTTCTCTGATGATGGTAATTCAGGAAGAATTGATGTAACCATATGTAACGCTGCATTGTTTCTTAAAGAGGGATTTTATAAAATGTAAAATGCGAAAAGGATAAATCCTGAGAAGTGGCTAAACAATAAACGGTGAAAATCACAATTGTATTAGATATTATTTTAACTTTTTAAGTGAAATTCGTCATTCAGATTACTATATATTTAATTTTGTGACTAAAGAAAAGGTATGTTATAGTTCTTTTTTTTTAACTAAAGAAATGTTTTAGGACTGAAAAAATGGGTGCAAGAAGAAGGCGCTATGAAGAATGCTCTCATCGTCGGATTGGCGGAGCTAATCGGTACAGCTATGCTGGTGTTCTTGGGATGTATGGGTTGTATTGCTGGTCTTGGCGTCGTGCCTTTCCATTTACAGATAACGGTGACATTTGGTTTAACAGTTATGGTTGTAATTCAGGTCAGTAAGTAATCTTCGACGATTATTTTCTACTATTACTTCATCTTCATTTTGAATTTGATAAAAAATATGATGATTCCATATTATTGTATATATATTCTTTATAATCTTCCTCTTCTGTACTATTGTATATATATGTCGTTTCCGTTACAATATTTCTTTTAAGAATTATCTCTCTTTCTCTCTTTTTTAATACCTTAATATAATTATAGTATTACATTTATATAGCACAAATAAATCATTATATCATACTGAACCATATTATAAGTAATTGGAGTATTTATCGTGTTAAATTTGACTGTAATACTATAATTACATTAAGATATTAATATTTATTAAATTACATCACTGTATCATATTACGTTACGGTGATAAGATTGCACATCTATTTCGTCACAATTCCTATATATTGTAGTTCTTCATGTGGAAAGTGACAAGATTAATATTAAATAAACAAATAACAGCAATGACAATTACGTATAAACGTCATCTAGTACGATGTTCCGTGATTAAATAACATTCGCGGTTCGAATTAATTCAAAATGATATAATTTCGGTGTATATCCATATATTCCGAGAGGAAATCTTTATTTATTTCTATAGTTTATCTATAATAATTGAAAACGATGATTGGCATGCGATGTATTCTCATATTTATACACTCTAAAAAATAGCGGTGTGAAATTTCACCACGTCAATGTGGTCAAATAATTTGGTGTGAATTTCAACACCAAGATATGGTGAATCTTTCACATGACAAACGCGATGTCAAATTTTGATGTGGCATTGTTTGTTTTCGCACCGTGCAGTGTGACTGCGCCACACGTGACTTCAAAGAATCAATTGCTACAGCGTTTGAGGTTGCATTAGTTCGTGTCTTTTGTCTGACGTTCGCGCCAAA